ATGAATGGATAGGAAGCTGGTTAGTTTATAGACCATCCAAATCAGTTCTCATAGTTGGTAATGTGGATTGCCTATTTTTTTTTTGTTGAGTAATGGAAATCTAGCTGTATAGATTACCCACCCCACCCCCCTTCGCTGCGGCCTCATAGCTTAAAACTAAGTCCAAAAATATCTTGAAAATAGGGGAAAAAGATGTTGCAAAAAATGAGCCCGGAGTATTTTATTGGTACAGGCAAACAAAAATCAGTGTCACAAAAGACACACAGATTTTGATAAGAGGCACCTGACGTAATGCACTAAGAGTACTATCACGATAGGAAATGTAGGACCAGAGAGAAGTTACTAGAATAGAGCCTTTACACAGGAAATAGAATTTTTAAAAAAGCGAGAAATACCATTTCTCTATAGTAAAGGTAGTGTGGCTATTATGAGCGTGCAGACATAAACTCCTTTTAGAAAGTAGAAACCAGCATCAAAACATGATTGTAAGCGACTATATAATAAAACCCACTCCTTCCCGCACATACATGTACATTCATGCCTGGCTGCTTTTAATTTAAATATAAGGAAAGAATGACAGTCCTCTCAGAAGAGAGCAGCAGCAAAGGAAGAAGGTCCCTCTGCTTCCCTGATGCCACATGACTGTTTACAGATTTCATCTTTTCCCTTCCAAACTGAAATAAGTCTCAGAGGCTGAAGACCGCCGATGAATAAACTGAGCTGCCCACGCCTGTCAGACTGTCTGCGCTCTGCTCTTCTCATGCTGACCCTATTAGATTTGACTATTAAAAAGCAGCATTGGGCCATGTCAGCTCTTGGGTGGGAGACTGCCAAGGCACACTTCCATGCTGCTGGCGTTTGAAAGATTGATAATGATCCTGTGTAATGCTTTTTTTCCTTTAGCCCAGGCAGTTCTGCACAGGGGTCAGTTCTGTGGTGCTACGTACCCTGTCTTGTAGCATGAGGTGTAAAACTAAAATCCTAATTACCTGTGGCCGTTAAAAATCCCACGGCACTATTTACAAATATGCAAGCAATTACAGCAGACTGAAGTAGCCAAACTAGTAATTCTATTCTGCCAACATAAATCCTCCCACTGTAACCGAATGTGGAATTTTTTTTCATCTCACAGCATAAACTTTAAAGTCTTGCTGTAAAATGCTCATTAGCCATCAAATACCTCTATGGAGTAGCACTTGCTTTACAACAGAGGGGGGAAGGAAGTTTGTTCTACGGGTTGTGAGACACTGAGGCTACTTTAGGATAAAAGCTCCAACGCATCAGTTTGCCACAGCAGAAAATTAATAGAGATAGATTGGGTTTTAGTGGCATTTAAAACTACCTGCCTCTTCGTCTACCAGCAGCTCTCCTTCTCAGACTGCCTGCACTGCTGTACTTTATTCTCCCACACGTTGCTACAAGACGACACCTTGGATTTTTAAGTTTTTCCCTGTTATTTAAAAGACTTGTTCCTCTCCTCTCAAAAGGCTGGAAAGAAGGCGACGTTTCCAGTTTTAAATTTGACTCCCGTTGGCATAGCTTTCAGGTGCAGAGGTTTTTCCTCTACTTTGCTTTGAACCCAGCTCCCTGTGAATTTCTCTGTGCGGTAGTTTGGACTAAGGAAAATTCCAGGCAGCAGAAACAGAATTGTCTAGATCCCATTACAAACTCGCTCCTAAACAAATCCATAAAAGGCTATGATATAACAATTCATAGCTTATCACTGCCTGATCTGCTTTACAATTTAAAGGTTATATCTATATCTATATATATATACACACACAGATATTTTCCTTGGCACAACACAGTTGGATAAGAAAAGCGGTATCGCTTTGACCTGCACATCCTGTCACCATATCGGCCCCCCTTTACTTCTTCCTGTAGCAAGGAGAGACCGGCCAAGTCACAATTTCATCCCAGAAGCATGAAATACTGTGCTTACACCCAGCTTGAATCCACGATTTTAAGTCCGTAGTTTGAAGTTGGTTGGTGCTGGTCCCTCACAGTAAGACACGGGATGCTGGGCAGGAAATGAACTCTAAAACAGAGATGCAGATTTGGCAGAGCACTCTTCACTGAGCTCAGTGCCAGTTTTTCTAAATAAAGATGGAATTAAGCAGACTGAAGCTTGTCTGAGAAATGTCAGCTTCAGAGAAACCCTCGTAAGCGAAGGTCTTACAGTGTATCAATACATCGTGCTATGGAAAGTGGAAAGTTATTTATAAGGTTTCCATGCATACGCTTACTCCCACAGTTACATACTAATAAATTTTTCATCAGCTTGAGGGAGAGAGATGAGAGAAAACATCAAATGGCTCATGCAGCTGAAGAGCATGCCATTGTCATCTACCTGAGTACTTTCATCACGTTTTAATATTTTACGGCTTTCCTACAGATCCCAGTGAACTTTATCAAGCCAGGGCTCTGATCTGCAGCCACAACTCCATTTTGCCTTACCCGAGATAGAAAAATGGATTTGTATCATTTGGCTATAGAGAAGTCAGTGCCTTTCTTTTGTTTAGTTCAGCTTACAGAAATAAGTGCATCTCTTTCAGAAAGAGGACAGAAAGTATTCAGCAAAAGGTACTTTGAAATTGTATTGCCTGTTTTTGAGGTACCGTTCTGAGAGCCTGATGCAGAAAGCAAGCGAATTCAATAGCTTCTCAGTTTCAGCAGTCTTTGGATCAGGTTCTAAAGGGTTATTCTTTACACTCCTTCTAATGCTGTGTCATACTCGGACTGCAGAGCCAAAAAGAACAAAGTTTATGCATTTGGCTTTGAATATAGAATGGGATCTTAATTAGCATTCACATTCAGCTTAATTCCAGTCAAAGAAAGTTTTTATCATGAATAGAGGAGCAAAAGGTAAGCCAATGCATATTACTCCTCTAAGTCTTATCCATACATCTCTCTGATGGACGAACTGGCGCATACGCCAGCATCAGTACATGTAATCAGTGGCAGTATGCACAAAGAGGTATGTCCTCACTAGATGCCGGAAAAATACGCGAACCAGTTATCTGTATATAGATAGATCTGTACATGAAAAAATACTCGAGTGGCATGATTATATCCGGGTGCCTCTGCTATAAAAAGCATTTGTATTACCCTTACTTCTCTGAATAAATTCAAATGACAGCCCCATTTCATTTCTTCATTCAGTCTGGAGGCCAGATGGCATTAGAATCATTTACTTCACCTTGTTGTGCTTAATTACTACAATCAACACACTATTTTCCAAATTAATCATAACAAAGTAATTTCATTAGTAACACAGCAGGCTGTTGAATTATTAGCATCATAACAGTTTGCAAACAATTAAACTTTATTTGAACCTTAAAAATTTGCAGAGTAGAACATTATTGTAAGATCTAATGGCAGTATAGTACAAATCCAGAACAGCACATAATCAAGTAAAACGCTGTACAAAATATGACTTACAATCACCTTTTAAAAATTAGCTCTTACTGTTCACTGAAAGGCAAGCGCAACCTACATAAACAAAGACAATACAGTAATTAGCATTTTCTACCATTGAGTTTTAAGTTGTATTAACGGGGATTTTCTTATGCAAAACAGGTTATGGTATTCGCACAGATTTAAAGGAAACAATTCATCCGTGGTCCACCGCCGGTTGATTCCAAGATACTTCAAGCGAGTTTCAGGACATCCTTCACGTTTTGATTTTTAAGGCAGTTTGTTTACTCCCTCCCACATATTAGCATTTTCTACCATTGAGTTTTAAGTTGTATTAACGGGGATTTTCTTATGCAAAACAGGTTATGGTATTCGCACAGATTTAAAGGAAACAATTCATCCGTGGTCCACCGCCGGTTGATTCCAAGATACTTCAAGCGAGTTTCAGGACATCCTTCACGTTTTGATTTTTAAGGCAGTTTGTTTACTCCCTCCCACATGTACTGGGGGGGGGGAACCCTAAAGGAGATCGACAGACAAAAGACGCTTATTTCTC